TGTGCCTGACATTTTGTCTTTCTATCCACCATTCTTCTTTCTTAACCTCTCTGCCCTTCCTTTCTCCAGAGTTGGTCAGACACTTCTGAAAGGTGAGACAATCCGTGAAGCTCTGGAATCAGAGAGATGCAGGGCACAGAGGGGCCTGCCTGCTGAGCACGGAGATAACACAGCCAATTAGGATGTGATGTGAGCAGTGTTGGCAGCCATGGAAACAGCACAGGGAGGGGCTGGGGAAGATGTCAAAAAGCAGGATTTTATTAAACTTTTTTAAATGTAGGTAGGGGATTGTGGAGGAGGTAAAGGGATACCTGGCAGATAATCAGCATGAGCGAAGGTATGCGGTATGTGGACAAGTGCTAGCATCTTTAAAAGATAGTACAGAGGGGCTGAAGGAAAGGGGAGGACACAGGAGAAGAGAGATGAGGAGGTAGTAAAAGTCAGAGAATGAGGCTGAGTTAGGAAGCCACACCTGGGAGAGCTGAGGGTCCTACATGGAAGACAAAAATTTGGGATTTATTTCTTAGCTATGGGAAGTAACCTGATCAGATTTATATTTCAGAAAGATCTGGATAGACTGGCTGGAAAATACACTAGAGAGAGAACACTTTTGGCCACCTCATTGTTTTCTGTTGTCAGATGAAGAGGGAGAGGGATCAGCATCCTTCCCATGACAAAGAAGTGGATGTGGGGGTTGGCTATGAGAACACATTTGAAAGTTCTGAGAAAAAGCCAAATAATTGATAGAAAGCATGAATTATCCTGAGCTTTGTTGGGATCATGGGCAAATTGTGAGAAGAACAAAAGGAGGGGAGAGAATTCTTAACTTCCTGTCATTTTAATAGGAAAGTAATGAAGTGGGTCTTTTACACAGACACAGTGACCATGGTCCTTCAACACAGTCCCTTGAAGAGCACCACACCAATTCTCTTAGGGCTATCTGTGGGAATGTTCCCAGGAGGCACTTGGAATCATGATGGATTATTGTATCTACTGCATAACCATTTATATTTGACCCCCAAAGGACACTGTCCAGCTAGATTACCCACTTCGTTCATCTAACACACCTCTAACAAAACAGTAACTTTTTTAACAATTTAAAAATGTAAACACTACCCCACCCCCACCAAAAAAGTGGGAAGTGATTCCTTTGTGGTAGCCTGACCCTACACCTGGATCCTTTCACATAGCTAGCACTGAAAAAGTGCACACTACTGCTTTTTCATGGATTTCATATTGATTTTCTCATCTGCTCCTGATCAACCCTTCCCTGATCTCCAGCCTCAACACTTACTTATGGCCTTAACACCCAGTGCTGTTCCCCTGACTCCAGACCCTGTATTTTTCTAATAAGTGACTTATTCTATCCTTTGAATTATTTTATTATTATTATTTTGGTACAGGGGATTGAACCCAGGGGCACTTTAGCCCTTAGGTATGTCCCCATTCCTTTTCATTTTTTATTTTGAGACAGTGGTTGGCTAAGTTGCTGAGGATCTCACTAAGTTGCTGAGGCTGACCTTGAACTTGTGACCTTCCTGTCTCAGCCTCTCTTCTATGGATTATGCTTCTCAGTGATATTCTCTAAACACCCAACATACCTTCTGCACCTACATACCAGTTTGGGCTCACCGTGCCAACATGCTGTTTGATTAGCCTAGCCCTGCAGATGGCGCTGGGGTACCCTGATTTTAAAAGACAGGCCCTCTGCTATCTTCTGTCTTACCAAGTGCTTGCAGGCACATTATTTCATTTTTTTTTTTCATCACAAACAAGGTAGAATTGGGATGGGAGTGGAAATGGAAGCTGGGTAGGGATTCCAAACCTGCCTTTTCCAGATGAGATGACTGAACTCAGAAACAAAGACACTCTTCTAAGCAGGGACATAAGGCACAGAATTTAAGAAAGTCCTTGTTCTAGGATGTTATAAAAGCAGCATTTGAATGTGTCTCACAAATTTCATGTAATGGAAACTTAATCCCCACCTTCCTGTGTTAGCCATATTAGGAGGTGGGGGCTTTGAGAAGGAACTGGGTCCCTTCATGGGCTAAAAGGAGTGGCTTTTTCACCAAAGCACTTGCTTGTTCTGTCTCCCACATGATGTCCTCTGCCACGTGAGGCTTCAGTACGAGGCCCTCCCCAGATGCCAGCATCTTACTCTTATACTTCTGGCTTCAGAACCATGAGCCAAATAAATCTCTACTCTTTATAAATTCCTTGGTCTCAGGTGTTTTGTTTATAGGTTCAGAAAATGGACTAAGAGATGGTTCCCAAGAGTGAGTGCCTGTACCTTTTGTGCCCTCCAGCCCTGCGGAGGCCTCCCTCCTGAATCATAAGTAGGAAGCTGAGGGCGAAGCTCAGTGTTTTCATACATTTCTTCTTTGGCAAAGATGCCCAGCACCCCCTGCACCTTCTGATTCATGTCTTAGTCTCTAAAATGTCCCACCCTGAGCAGATCCTGCTACACATCTGAATTATGCCATTTGACCAGGAACCCTCAACACAGATACCTTGGAAGGACTGTTGGTATGTGGATCCTTTTCTGTTGTTTGAGGCTCCAAATCACATGGCCCTTTTTCCTTCATTCTTCTATCTGGATTTTCATGTTTAGGGCTGAAATACAAACAGACACTAAGGAAAAAGTGGAGATTAGAGTGTCAGATGGCAGCTCAATCCTAAATTAAAGGGGAAAACTGAAAGACTTATTTTTTAATAAGGAGGGACAGGATCAGATCAACCATAGAGACAGCTTCCCTGAGTTCCTTCCTGCCTGCTCCAATCAATGCTGGAATGTCAATTCCTGCTTAAAATCACTAAACTCCTCATGGGTCATAGGATAAAACCCAGGCCTGGCTCCTAAATTTCTTTCCAATTCCATCTCTCTTTTCTTCTTCCCCCCAGTTTTGCTCAAGTCTAGATTCATAATTGTCCAGACCCACCACCCCATTTGAGCAACTCTCCTTTTTCATTAGTTGTTTATTTTTTCAGACATGCTGTATTCATCTTACACTGCTGACACATACAAGATCCTTCTTAATTAAAG